CACTGATGGCTGGTCCCAGAGGCCTCTGGGTTTTCCTCTTAAGGTTCATTTTGGGAGAAATGCACCTGCCTAGAGTGAAAACAATAGCTAGGGTGGCCATGGGGGACTCTGCCTACCCAAGAATCCCAGGGGCGACTTAGAGGGGCTGGTGACAAGGTGAAGGGCTAGCAGTGGCTATTCTGGCCCCACAGCAATCACTGTCTTCAGTCTCTTAAGTCAGGAGAAGGCAGACATGATAGGCCCCGCTGGGTCTGCCCTAGCAGTTTATCTAGTGTGACAGATCTGAACTGGGGTGCGGTGGGGATAATCAACATTGGGGTCAGAGCTGGAGGTTGGAAACCCCACAGAGTGTATGGACTTTGTACTTATTCCTGGTCATGCACCGGTATTTGCCCACAGTGTGGTCCGTTTCTGTGTCTCCTCATTGGTGAGAACGGACAAGTCAAGGTCTCTACACATCACCCATCACTGTGGAGGAAGAGATGCAGGATCTGGAGGAGGACTGACCTGGATTAGTCTCTGGGCTGTCACGCAAGCCTTTGAGTCTACCACGGCAATGCGTTTCTACCCATGAGGGATTGCAGTGATTTTCATAGTCACATGGTGACTGCTCGGTAAATATAGCTTTTCTTTTTTGCCCCATTTATTATGTTTAAATACTTGGATGTGGAGCTTGAGGAATATTTGTAACTGGGACTAGGGGCGTGGTAGTTTAGTGGTGGAGTGCTTGGGTGGCCTGTGTGAGGCTCTAGATTCAAACCCAAGTAGCAGTAATAACATTGTTACTGGGTGAGCTAGAGCCAGGAGGGTTGGGTTAGCTCTGGGGAGCTGAAAATGCACTTCTAGTAGCACAAGGAGAGTGTTAGCTTGGCATCTTGCTCCCTTGCCACACCACGCCCACTCTCGCTTCAGCTTCTCTGTGGGGTTCCATCTATTTGAAGCACTGTACTGTGTTTGGGTGCTGGATGGCATGCCTCAAAATGCTGCTTAGGTGTCAAAGATTCTGAGTAAGCTTTATCTTATCACTTTAATAATCCAGTCCCTCTGTAGTTCCTGTGCGTCCTTCACCCTGCCTTGCCTGATACAAATGCACGGATGATGTGTTCAGAACTCCTACATGCTTGTTACCTCCAGCAGAGGCAGGGTCTTGCCTGTCTCAGTACCTCCATCCTTTTGCCTGAGAGCTGGTTCCTGATTTCCACTCATAAGCTGTCAGGCTACCTCTGATGTTGGTGAACTTAGGCTCATGGTTAAAACTGACTTTCCAATCAATACTTTCTCTTTCTATATAGTGCAGGATGTGGATAAGAACATAGACCAAGCATCCTGGTTTTGTCTTTTGTGAATTGTGTAAACGTTGTCGTTTGCTTCCTCTACGGTAACAGTTCAGTCACTGGCTCGCTATACAGTGTCATTTGTTTTCTCTACTGTAACAGTTCAGTCACTCGCTACACAGCAGTATATGGGTCAAAGGTAACTCACATTACCCATCACCCATAGGGTTATAGGAGTTGACAGATTCTTCTTGCCAGGTACCACTGTGGTCATTCTTTTCTTTCCCCCTGTGGTCGTTCTCAAGTCCTAGTGTAACACATTGATCATGGTTATAATGATACTGGTGTAAACAAATCTGTCCAGATATATTTAGCCATAGAAATACCATTTCTCTCTCTTTCCTTCCTTCCTTCCTTCCTTCCTTTTTTTTTTTTTTTTTTTTTGAGACAGGATTTTTCTGTGCAACAGTCCTATCTGTCCTGAAACTAGCTCTTATAGACCAGGCTGGCCTCAAACTCACAGAGATCCGCCTGCCTCTGCCTCCCGAGTGCTGGGTTTAAAGGCGTGCGCCACCACCACCGGCAATGCACGTGTAATTTGTAGAGCCAAGCCTGGCCCGTGAGAAGTGCTGGTTAACGTTAGCTTTGTCTGTAGTTGAGCCAGGATTTCAACAGCTCGGTTTCAGTCAGACACACCGAGTTGGAGTCCAAGATCCATCTCTCACTGGTGATCTCCTTGGCTAGGAGGACAATCTGTCATTCTCCATTTGCAAAGTGGGATTCGATGGCTTTGAGTGTGGAGGGAGGAGACGACAAAGTGAGCATGCAAAACACTCTCATAATCCTCAGGAGGCGTGGCTGGTGTGGCTGGTCTGCTGTGCTTTAAGCAGCAGAAGAGGAAGGGCAGGAGCCCGGCCCGAAGCGGTTAAGAAACAATCAAATCCCACTGCCTGCCTGCCTATCCTGCACACTGCCCCTTGTTGCCGGCTTACATCACTCTTATTTATTGTGACTTTTCTTCCTCCTTTGGACAAAAAATCATGCCTGTCTTAAGCACAGGAAGGCGTGCCTTCCATTTTATTTAATCGAACTGATGGCCTCCAGCCGTAATCTGATGGCTCTTACCTCACGTAGTGCAGGGTCCTTGGAGCCAAACAAACTTGTTCAAAGTAAAGCAGTCTGGTTTTCAGGTTATCTGGGTTAGCTAAGTAAAGCTTACCTGGGACTCAAGAAGACGAAAAGGAGTCACTGCTCAGTATCTGGCAAAGAGCCAGCAAGTGGTGACAGATGGTGGTTAGTGCCACCTGAGGGCTTGCTCTAGTGACATCCTTTCCTGTGTTTGTCTTTTTGGCGGTTTGTCTGAGGCTCCCTTTCAAGTGCAAGGCGGAGTCTGGTGGCCTTGTGCTCTAACTCATTCGCAAGTCTCTAACGGACCTCCAGATCACAGGCTGCGCTCTGTATGGAGTCTGTTAGACAGTGTGGGGGCTTGTAGTTGTAGTGAGCCTGTGAGCTTCTTAATGATGATCAGAACTGAACTGTTCATGTATATGTTTTGGGGAGCAATGATGTCTCTATTATGTGCAAACCATCGAGATATGCTAATGCCTCTGAGGGTATTGATGCCATGCTTGTTCGGTGGTCCTCAACCTTCCTATAGTGCAACCACTTAATACAGTCCCTTCTGGTGTGGTGGTCCCCAACAATAAAATGATTTTCATTGCTACTCCATAACTGTAACTTTGCTACTATTACGAACCATAATGGAAATATCTGTGTTCTCTGATGGACTTAGTGACCCCTAAGTGAAAGGGTCATTGTTCGACTCCCAAAGGGGTCCCGACCCATCAGTGGAGAACCACCATACCAGCTATTTGGACTTAGTAAGCCCACCTTTGGTGGCTCACAAAGTGACTCAGGAGGTGTGTGCATACATGTTTCACATACGAACAGTTAATGCAGCTTCTGTTTGAAAGAAACACCAGCCCAGCAGACCAACATTTTAGGGATGTTTGTCCTTGGGAGGAGGATAGCATGCTTCTGAAGAAAGGTGACTAAGAAACGTGTAATGAACAAGAGTAAAAGGAAGGCTAGTGTTCAATTTGCTATAAATGATTTGTATACACACCCCACCTGGCATAGTCAGAGGAGGGGGATCCCCAAGAGTTGGGAGCAGGACAAGAAGATGGCAAACATCTGTGACTTGTCCTTCCTACCTATCAATGTTCTTTAGGAGCTGGAGGAATTTCTCATCAAGGAAAGTCTCGCAGAGCCACTTTCCTTCCTAGGAACTTTCTTGGTTGGTGGCCCTGAAAGATGCCCAAGGTGCAGCTGGCATTGCAGAGAACTTGAGAAACATTAGGAAAGTCACATCATCACCCTAATGTGCCCGCTGCGTGGAGAGGCAAAGGCTTGTGTTTTAAGGCTCCTGAAATTGGGATGTATCTTACAAAATCGTTATGACTTAAGTAGATAGTGATTTCCACTCCACAAAGCCGTTAGCATACAGACAACAGATTAGAAATTGAGTCAGCATGATGCTTCTATTTTTTTTTTCATCCTCCAAAGCGCATTAAAATATTGGGAGTTCTAACAAATCTAGAAACGGAAGGAGAATTTTTGTAGTGAAAATCTCCCACCTCAAGTTATTTCCTGCCTATCAGATGAAAATGGGGGCAGATGTGTTAAAATAGAGCAACAAGTAGAAGCCTAGGTCCCACTTTTTGGACATAGCGAAGCACCTTCTACACTTCCTCTCTGAGTGTATAAATGCTTTACTTTTGAACTTGCTTATGGAAATGGCTTTTCAGAAGTGGTGCATTGCGTTATCTCAAGAGAAGGATGAACCAGCCGCTGTGATTAATGATGAAAAGAAATACTATTGGTCAGAATTGATGTTTCATGACAGTTCTTGGAGGAAGCTAAGTGTAAGGAAATGTGACTTGAACACGAGGCCAAGGCAGCAATGATGGTTTGTGTCCAGAGCCCATTCCCTCTCCCCCCACAGCCCCCCATCTCCTTGTTGTTTGTAAAGAGGGAGGGAGCTCTTAAGTCTATTTTTCCAGTTTGGCGAGTTTGAAGTGAGCTCAGAGATGTGTGCTTAGGTTTACAAACCAGCATCTTTACGGCCTTTGTTTTAGACCCAGTGAGGACTGATGGATGCCTGTTTCTGGAGAAGAGGAGGGGTTGCTCAGGAGGAATAAACCCACAAGAACAGGCCAGCCTTTCTTGGAGGGCTGCTGCTGTTATGCCTCACTGCTTCATTGAGACCTCCTGATACCAAGCAACTGGGGCACAGCCTTGTGAAGTCAATGGGCAAATCCTCTGGCAGAGGTTGAAGGGAAAGAGCCAAGGACCACGGAGGCAGGGATTAGATGGAGCCATTTAAAAGGAAACAAAAATAAAAGCAAGAGTAACAAGCAATGGAAGGGTTCTGGTCTCAGCTGGCCTTGCCAAGCAAACTCTGGGAAGCCCCGTGGAGAAAGGATTTTCTCTGAGTTCCCTAAAGTGTTTGTGGTGCTTTGGCCATTACATTCCCAGGCTGTTTCTATGGCATTTACCAAAAGAGAAAGCAGTGTCATGATGTCTTTTCCCTTCCCATTCGGTACCGCTTTCTCAGCCTCATGAAATAAGTCTCTGGCTTCAATGGGACTGTTTAAAAGGAAATGGGTGGGAAGGCATGGGAGATATATACTGGCTAGGCCTGATTTTTCACAAAGAGAAACTCTCTAAGAGTAAACAGTGTTTATTTTTTGTTGATTTTTTTCAAACAAATGGAATTGCTTTTAATTAAAAAAAAAACCTTATTTCTTCGCCTTAAATACTACAGACAATCTCATTTTTATCGCAGCAGACACCTAGAAACAAAACACGGAACCCACCAGAGAAAACTGGGCAATGATGAATGCATCAGAAATTCAAGTCGACTATGGGAGAATTAGTGCCAGTTGGCAGCTCTCGGTTCTAAAGAGAAGTGGCCCGAGCTTACCGAGTTGGACAAAAGTTTCTTAGAATTGGGGAGCTGGGAACATTGAACTCCTTTTTAATCCTATTCCAATTGTTTTATGCATAGGGAAATAAAATGCAATGCATCAAATGAAGACCCAAAGAAACATTTAAAAACTCGTTTGACTAGTATTCAGTATGTGAGACTAAGTAATAGCTTGTCCTCCTAGTTAACCTTGTCCTGGAATATATATAAGTTATTTGTAGCCGCCACTGCTATAATGTTTTCTGAAGGATGCCAAGCTGTATGCAGGATCTTTTTGCTAAAGTCCAGACTGTCCACACTGATCTCGTCTTTTCTTCGCTTGCCCCCGACGCACACTTTTCGGGGTTTGAGGATAGCCCGGGGCTTGCTGTTTTCCCTCGAGGCCTCAAGCGTCACATCACGCTTGGTGTTGCGGTCGAACATCCTGAAGAAGTTGTTGTAGGAGCCGGTCATGATGACACTGCAGGGGAGAGGGGAGACTGAGTATGACAGAGAAGGGTGGCAAGACATCCCCAAAGCATCTTTCAGGAGCCAAGGAGGCTTAGCATGGACATCTCAACTCACAGGGGCCAGAGGGCTAAACTGGGAGCACTAACGTCTTTTTGAGTCATTAAAAGTGCCAAGCTCTTTGACTGGGCTTAGGATGAGATAACCATCAGTATTACTTATTTTTATTCCATAGAGACTTTTTGTTCTTGGGTCACTAATATGGTCCAGTTGTTATGATTCTAGAGTTATTGACTTTCCATTAGTGTGAGGTGTGGTGGTTTGAAAGAAAATGGCCCCCAAAGGATGGCACCATTAGGAGGTGTGACCTTGTTGGAGTAGGGGTGCTCTTGCTGGAGGAAGTGTGTCACTATGGAGGTGAGCTTTGAAGTCTCATATATGCTCAAGATTCCGGTAGTCCAGTGTCTCGTTTACTTCCTGGTGCCTTTGGATCAAGATGTAGAATTCTCCAGCACCATGTTTGCCTCTCAGCCATGATGATAATGAACTGAACCTCTGAAACCGTAAGTCACCACTTCAGATAAATGTTTCCCTTTATAAGAGTTGCTGTGGCCGTGGTGTCTCTTTACAGCACCAGAAACCCCAAGACAGGGGCCACAATGTGGAGGTGTAAGCAGGAACACATGGAACCAACAAACTATTTTCCAGCTTTGACACACAATTGTTGTCCTGGAATTTCTGGGCTGTCTGAGCTCAGGGAACTTAGCTTGTCAGTACTGAAGCAGTGACCACCACAGGGAGGCCTCTCTCCTTTTAGGAGCCAGCTCTATAATCTGACGTTTCAGAAAATGTGGCCAGAAAATGGATGCCATGATCTTACCCGGAGAGACTATAAACAGATTTGACTACCCTAAATCTAAATTTGGAGGAAAGCATTGTTTTTGCAATCTCTCTGTCCTCGGGGATGTCTGTGATTGAGTGGGAGAGTAGTGAAGGCCGAAGACCTTCCAGCAACAGGGTACTGAATCTTTAAATCTGGCATTTCAAATATAGGTGGCAGGCAGTGGGGAGGTATAGTGCTGCCTGTACCCCGTGTGTACCATCTCATGGTGGCACCCCAAAGAGGCTGACAGATTGTGTTTGGGAAGGAATGCCTGATGTCATCTGTGTTTTGGTGGAGGGAAAAAAAAACTGGTAAGGCTGGCTTGCTTTGGGAACTTCGTCAACTGTAGATTAATCAAAGGTTGAGTTTTGTTTCACTGGCTATGGATAAAGGGGTATCTATCTGTCCGGGTGACCCAGTGAACTGTCATGGGGACATGGATACAAGGGGCTCTACCACCACAATCACAGCTTTCAGTAACTCATGCAAGGCAGTTTCAGGGGAGATGAAGGTGTGCACACTGACAACGAGTGTGACAAACACAGAATGCACGTGTGCAAGGCCACTGGGTGTAAGTACCTAGCCACCTGATTCTGCAGCTTCTGGGACACTGATGTTCACTTCTCTATCAAGATCTAACTTACTTTTAGGTAAGTCAGAAGGAATATGTTTTACCCTCAAATATCTTAACTTTATCTGAACCCTGAACAAAATTCCCAGTTTTGATATGGAAGAACTGATCTCAGGACTCGAAGTCGTAATTACGGCTTGCTAATGTTCAAGGTTGAGCCATTGCACCAATTGTCCAATTTCCCGTCTCTTTGCTTCCTCAACTGGGAAACAGAGATGATGGAAACAACCTTGCTGGATTGTGGCTAGGGTAAGAGATGTGTGTAAAAATGTCTTGTGCATAGACACCTAGTCGTTGTGGTTATGAATCTATGTTAATGAGGGGAGAAATGGAATAACAACAGTTGTGTAAATTGTATCAACTAACAAAGACTAAGCGGTTAAGGAATAGGCTGGCTTCTTTCCCTGGGGACTCTGGTTCATATGGTTCAGCTGCTTTGCTCTCTTATCTTGTAATAAACTAGATAGTTGCAACCCGGGTCCTTCGCTACATGTTTACTACATCTCGTTCAGTTGAATTCTACAGAAGAAGATTCAGTGGCGGTTTGGGAAGAGGGCAAGATAGTCAGAGACCATGGCACTGACTTGAAGCTGGAATCTCAAAAAGGCCTGCTGTGCAAAAGTCCCATGCTATTGAACACTATGCCACCTTCATCAAGGAGCTAAGTGAGCCCCAACAGCCTGCATCTAGTTTATAGCTAGTCAGAGAATCATCTGTATTTGTCAGACTGAAAATGAACTATTGGGAGGTGATATGAAGTATTGTAGAAATCAAGGGCCTTAAAACACTAATAAATCACTCTGAAGGAATGTGATAAATGAGATTGGCTTGGATTCTGTTAATGAAGCACTACAGACTTCAGTCAGGTCTGCTCTAGCAGCTTCCAGGGGATAGGTCTAGTAACCAGAGTTATGCAGGGGAGGATTTCCTGGTGTTTTACCAGTGGTCTTGAGTAGGCATCTGGCCCTAGCTTTCGGGTGCCTTGTATGTCAAAGACACCATTTTCTTGTTGACACTGAACTGTCATCTGCACCAGGTCTGAAACAAACTTGGGGCCTCACTGCATCCTTCTTTTTACAGGCTTGGCCACAGACTCCGGTTCATGGCCTGCATAATGTACCCTGGCCAGGTCTTGGGGTCTGCACTGAACTCCTTTTGGATGCACCCCATTTAGGGCAAATCATCCAAAGGCTCCTCAAGGAAAGACTCTCAGCCCAAACACAAATGTTTCTTACCTGTCGGACCCATTCCATACACACTCAAATTTATCAAAAATGCAGTCATTTTCATAGAGGGAGCACAACTTGCTGCGGAGGTAGTCATGAACCTGAGAGGAAACATCAAGAACATGGCATCAGCATAACAGGGGCGGAGTCCTGTGAACATTGACGCGATGACATGAGCTGTTTAACCCCCCCGTGTGCCCTCTGGCATTGCAGCAGGTGGCTCTGCACTGAATGCAAGCTCAGGGCCCTGTCTCTAGGAGGAAAGCCTGCATCAGTGAGCTTCTCTCATGCCAGTGTGGACTGAAGAAGGTTGCTTGTGTAGAGAGTGGCATAATGCAGGAACCCGTAAGTGGTAGTATTATGTTTTGTTTTATTATTGTTGGCGTATGCCTGCATGATGTGTGTATGGAGGCATGTGTACCTGTGGCAGGCAGAGGACAGCTTTGTGGAATTGGGTTTCTCTTTCCACATCAATCCCAGATGTGGGCTCTGGGGATTGGATCAAGGTCAATACTAGGTGTTAGAACTAGTATTCATTTAGGCTTTTGATACACGGCTGCTCATTACAAGTCTGCTCTGGGCTCGAGGCAGAGCACTGGGGAAAGAGACCATAGAATGGAATAGATCCATGAGAAGTTTTGGACAGCGCTAAAATCACAGAACATGGAAGCGTGGAGAAGGGCACTGAGAGATGAGGGACATTATTTTTTATAGGATGAGGGCACAAGGTTACATGTGATGAGGTAACACACGGCCTCTGCGGAGGGTGAATGAGTCTGAATGACATCTGGAGGTAAGGCTTTCTGACCTTAGGGAAGAGCATGCATGAAGGGCCACAGGTACAAGTCCGGGAAGGAGTGTGACAGACCAATGGAGAGTAAGCAGATTGTGAGCAAGGGGAAGAAGGACATCACAGGAAGGGCCACCAAGTCTGCATGTTCCAATGAAGGGTAAGCACGCATGGCCAAGGGCAAGAGACATCACAGGGAGGGCTGCCAAGTCTTCGTGTTCTAGTAAAGGCTAAGAGAGGAAGGCCAAGGGCAAAAGTCTGGTGTATGCTTCACTGATGGTGGCTCAGACTAGGGCAAGGGCAGCTGCTAAAATCTAGTGGGATCTGGGATCTTTTGATAGGACACAGAGCAACCCTGCAGGGTGGAGCAGAAAACTAAGTCAAAGAAGGTTCCTGACCTCTCAGCTGAGTATTAGCTGTCTGGGCAGGAAGGGCTGCTGAAGTCCTTCTGAGGAGACAGAGAAAGCCCTTGATTTGAAAACTGAATCACTTAATGAAAGAGAAACACTGATAACTCAAGCTAAAATGAAGGTAGAGGTGAAAAAATATTCAGGCTCTCAATTAGAAAACTCAGGGGAAAGCCTTTTAGATAGAAGAAAAAAATATCAGGTCTCAAAGATTAAGTAGAGGAATTAGATCACACAAACAAAGAACATGAAAGATTAAAATTCACACAGAAAAGGACTATACAGGAACTGTGGGACACTATGAAAAGACCAAATCTTTGAACTATAGGCATAGATGAGGGAGAAGAATCTCACATTGTTGGCACAGACTAGAACTTAAAGCTTATAGAAGAAAATCTCCCCTGAGGAAAGACACACCCATATAGATACAGGAAACACACAGAACAGCAACAGAAAAAGAGCTCCCCATGGCATAACATAGGAAAGAGAAAAGTATTTCAAATAAATGGAGCCAGGAAGCAAGCAAGCAAGCAAGCAGTATTGCTATTCTAATATTATGCCTTCATACAAAAATTAACCGGGCAGAAAAGCAGATAGGCTAACTGCAGATCTTCACCTCACCCTCCTCTCTTCCAAACCCCGCCCCAGTCTCATCCCCAGCTCTGTAGCAAATCATGTGCCGCAGCCTCCCCTTCCTCTCAGATCTCCAGAAGATCAAGCAGATCTCTTTCCCCAACTCACCCTTTGGTCCCAGGTCACACAACTCCAGGATTCCCTGGGAAGCCATGGGCCACACCTCCCAGGGAAACAGTTAGGCTAACTGCAGATCTTCCCTCCTTTCTCTTCTCCTCCAAATGCAATCCCTCCCACCCCCTTCCTGTCTCAGCCCCAGCTCTGTAGCAGAACACCTGCTGTGGTCTGGTCTCACTTTCTGCCTTCATTAAAAGGCGGTAAAGCAGATACTGGTGAAACACCTTTCTCCTTCCTGTGGACCCCCTTCTAGCCTATTCCTATTGTTAAGGGTCAGCTCTTTTTTTTTTTCTTTAACAGTCAAATAATTTATTAGCAACAGAGCTCTTAATACCTAGAAAATCACTGTACCTGGAACCCCCAGTGACTACACCTGGCAGGATCCCAGAAACATTTTATACCAGGCAACACATAGCCTAAGGACACTGTCTTAAGAACCAGAGAAGGCAACATAAACAAAGAAACAAAGTACCCACCAAAGATAGGACCAGAAACCAGTACCTTAGAATTACAGTCATTCCAAACTCAGATGCCTGGATACCAGTGTGAAAACATTACTCCCGGGGCAAAGTCTCCACGAGAACCCTGCAACCCTACTGCAATAGTCCCTGAGAAATCCAACATAGCTGAAGCACAAAATAAAATTGAATATGATAGAGGTCCTTAAAGAGGAAATAAATAAATCCCTTAAAGAAAACTATGAAAACCCAAACAGTGGAAGGAAATGAATAAAAATAGTTCAAGACCTGAAAGTGGAAATAAAATCAAAGGAAACCGATACCCAAACTGTGGCAATCTAGAAATAAAAAATCTAGGAACTCAAAGAGGAACCTTAGGGGCAAGCCTCACCAACAGAATACAAGTGGTGGAAGAGAGAACCCCAGGCGTTGAAGATAAAAGAAATTGATACCTTGGTCAAAGAAAATGTTAAAGCTAGAAAACTCCAGGCACAGAACATCCAGGGAATCTGGGACACTGTGAAAAGATCAAATATGTGAACAACAGGAATAAAGGAAGGAGAAAAAAAACCAAGGTCAATGTCACAGGAGAGATTTTCAATAAAACTATAGAAGAAAATGTCCCCAAACTAAAGGAGATGCAGATCAAGGTACAGGAAACCAAATGGACTGGACCAGAAAAGAAATTCTCTCAGCAGATAATAATCAAGACACTAAGTGTATAGAACAAAGAAAGAACATGAAAACTTGCAAGGGAAAAAGAAACACATAAAGGCAGACCTATTAGAATGACAGCTGACCTTTCGATGGAGACTCTAAAAGCCAGAAGGACCTGGACAGATGACATTCTACAGACTTGAGACCACAAGGGCAAACCTGGATTACTATACCTAACAGAACTTTTAATCACCATAGATGGAGAAGGACATTCCATGAGAAAACCAAATTTTAACAGTATCTATCTACATATTCATCGCTCCAGAAGGTGTTAGAAGGAAAACTTCAGCCTGAAAAGGTTAAACACACACACACACACACACACACACACACACACACACAAACAAACAACATCATAAAGAATAAATAATCCCAGATCAGCAAACCAAAAGGGGGGGCACTACCACGACAAAAATAAACAGTAATCAATGAACACTGCTCATTGATAACTCAACATCAATAACATCAATTCCCCAATAAAAAGACTAAAAGAATGCATGTAAAAACAGGACTCATCCTTCTGCTGCAGCCAAGAAATACACTTTAACATCAAAGATCACCTTGAGTTAGATAGACATCGTCTCAGGGCAAAAGGATGGAGAATGATATTCAAAGCAAATGGAACTAAGAAACAAGCTGGTGTAAGCAATTTAATATCTGACAAAATAGGCTTCAAGCCAAAACTAATCACAGGAGATGGGGAAGGACACTACATACTCATCAAAGAAAAAATTCAAGAGGACACCGCTGCAGCAAACAGTGGCACCTAAGTCATAAAAGAAACATTATTACAGCTTAAATTATACTCAGCCCTCACACGCTGACAGTGGGTGACATCACTACCTCACTTTTGCCAGTATACAGGTCATGCAAAGAATAAACGGAGAAATGCTGGAGCTAATTTATACCATAAACCAAATGGACCTAACAGATGTTTACCGAACATTTTACCCAAACACAAAAGAATATACGTCTTTCCAGCACCACATAGAACTTTCTCTAAAACTGACCACATACTCGAACACAAAGCATGTCTCAACAGATAAAAAAAAAGTTGAAATAGCATCTTGCATCCTGCCTACCCACCATGGATTAAATAAAGCTGGATATCAACAACTACAGAAACAACAGAAAGCTTATGGGCTCATGGGATGGAACATCTCACTACAGTCAATGAAAAAACGGGTCAAGACAGAATTAACAAAGAAATTAAAACTTTTAAGAATTGAATGAAAATGAAAACACAACATACCAAACTTAAGCGGCACAATGAAGGCAAGTCTCAGAGGCAACTTCACGGTGCTAAGGACCCACATTAAAAAAATTAGAGTGTGCCAGGCAGTGGTGGTATACATCTTTAATCCCAGCAATTGGGAGGCAGAGGTAGGCGAATCTCTGAGTTTGAGAGCAGCCTGGTCTACAAAGCAAGTTCCAGGACAGTCAGATCAGTTATACAGAGAAACCTTGTCTCGAAAAATAAAAACAAACAAACAAAAAACAAAAAAGTCGGAGCGATTTTATACTAACAGTACCTGAAAGTTCTAGAAAAAAGAACCCTCACCCAAAAGGAGTAGATGGCAAGAATTAATCAACTTAGGGAAGAAGTCAATAAAATAGAAACAAATAACCACAGAGCAGGGAGAATATCCAAATTAACAAAACTAGAAATGAAAAGGGGGGTGTGCAACAGACACTGAGGAAATCCAGAAAATTAATTATAAGAACATACTTTAAATCTGAACTCTATCAAGTTGGAAAATCTAAAAGAAATGGATATTTTTCTTTTCCTTTCTTTCTTCTTTCTTTCCTTCCTTCCTTTTTTTTTTTTTTTTTTTTTTAATTTCTCAAGACAGGGTTTATCTGTGTAACTGCCCTAGCTGTCCCGGAACTCAATTTGTAGACCAGGATGGCTTTGAACTCCACTTGCCTCTGCCTCCCAAGTTCTGGAATTAAAAGTGTAGGCCACCACTGCCTGTTGG